GGAGAGCAACATGGCTACTCAGAGTGGGCGGGAAAAGCATAACAGCCCCTGCTGGCTGAAGGAGCTGGATTTGGGTACGAGCAAGTTTGCAGATGACACTAAGCTAGGGGGAGAAGTAGGTACACTGGAGGGTAGAGATAGGGTCCAGAGTGACCTAGACAAATTGGAGGATGTAGTAAGATGAGGGCCTGTAACCAAAGTCCATGTAGCACAGGCCTGGTTTGAGGCCTAGCTAACAATGAACAAAACTTGGCTAATATAAAGCAAAGCAAAACTGTGAGCAAGAGGTGGCCCCTGCTCACAGAACTTGGCAGGAACAGGGCTGAGAGTGTAAAACAGTAAGTGGTAATAGGCCTGGGGTAGAAGAGTAATTGGTACTGGTTATAAGTTGAAAGGTACATTCCAAAAGGATGGTACCACCAGCTAATTAAGAAATACTTTGGTACCCACACGCTCCACAGCTACCAACCCAGGTTCAGGAAAGGGTCTACAATGACAGCATTATGGATAGAAATGTTCTGATCGAACCACAAGGTACAGGGGGATGGGTAGCGTCTAAGTAGCATCAGAGAGTAGTAACCTGACACGTCAGGAGTGATGTGTAACTTGTTTGTACCTGCATATAAAGTAGTGTCTTGGGGGACAGTCTTTGTCCAGCTGAGGGGGTAGTGGGACCTCCCACTGACTGAGCTGAGTCCATTGCTACAGGCAGGGCGGCCTGTGAGCCTTGGCGAGCTACGCAGCTGCCTAGGGCACCGCTGGCCTGGGCACCCTGGTTACAGGTATATATGCGTAGTGGTTCAGTAGAGTCTGACAACTATTACTGTACTTTGCTTAATAATAAACCGGGCCAGGCACCTTTGATTCTTATCTGGTTTGTAGTCTTTGGGGGCTCTCCTGGAGTCTGCTGTGTTGACTAATTGCACAAGTTAACATGGCACATGGCTCATATCACTGAGCACACACGCACACAGCCTTCTGGTTATCATCATCAATGGAGCAGGAGACCTGTCAGGACACCACAACAGTAAATCCTGACCTACTACATTGGTGACCCTACTACAATTTTCAGTTTGAGTAAACATCCTGCATGAAGAGGGACACTGTTGAATGTTGTATATACCAAGAAACTGCCAGGAGAAGGAGCCATGGAGCTTGCTCTGTTTGGTTCCACAAAGAAAAATGCACCCAAATCTGAAAATAACCTCGCCCCGTTGGGTTGGAGGCCACCTCAAAGGGTAAAGGTGGCAATGACATAGTGTTGGATGCATCATCTCCCTCATTACCCTAATTCAAAGGGAAATCTGTGATGTTGGCAATGGCTTGAGACAGGGGAGGGGTATGTCTTGGTCATTCAGGGGGCTGCAAAGAACATTCCCTTGGCGACGATTGAGAAATACTGAAGTGCTTTTACAGAACTGCAGTAATAGGCAGTCTCCCAGTTACTGCACTAGAGAAAGGTAGCTGTTTCCCACTAGAGTTAATTGCAATTGAAATAAATGCCACCCCCTACCACCACTGATAGACAGTAAGTGACTATTCAACATTTGGCTGGAATGGGGGGTGGTGCACCGTATGCCATACAGAGAAGGAGAACAGAAAGAAAACTACAGAGCTGTCTGCAGTTCAGAGATGGAATTGGTCAAAGGCACAGGAACAAGGCTGGTTGCGTCTGACACAGACGTGCCCACAATCCTATAGGTGAGACTATGACAAAGTAGGAATTTTCTGTAATATTTGTTATGGCACCTCAATTTCCCCTATGAGCTGCAGGGTTATCCTAGGGGGTAAAAAGTGTGGTTTGCTCTTTGCAGAGGCTCAGAGACTCCTGTGTGAATGACTCCTAGCTGTCTGGGGCTTAGCTTGTGCCAATGGAGTTCTTGAGAAGACAATGACAAACCCAGTCCCTGAACTTTGGTACCAGTGATCATGGATGGCCCACTCTTAGCAGAAAGCCAAGCAGCGTTTGCCCAGCTGGAGCACCAAGGACTGGGGAGGTGCCAAGGGGCCATTTAGAGTTGGCTGCTGAGGGATTCTGGGCACACATCTGAACAGGGACAGACGAGTGACAGGGCTTTGGGTTCTGTGCTGACCAGGCTGGACATTGCTGTCACTTCCTTTTCTCTGTGCTAGCCAAGGGTTTCCTGTGCTGTGTTCTAGCCAACAAATAAGCACCCATGTGTGATGGCGCTGGCTGGCTGTCCCTGCGGATGCTGGCAGAGGAGATGCATTGCTCACTGAGGTGGGACAAGTCTCCCTCAGGGCTCTGCCTCTGTTGGAGTTGCTGAGTGGGTGTGAAGCAGGGGGCTGAAGGCCCGGCGGTCCAGCCTGAAGAAGAAGTGAAGCCTTGTGCTTTCTTTGAAGGAAGAGTAAGGCCCGTAGGGGGCTTTCCCAGAGACTTTTCCAAAGCTGGAGCCATCATGCTTTCCTGTGGATTGTGACACAGACCTGTGCCATATGTTCTGAGAGAGAAAGTAGAAAATCAAACAGAGGAACTGCAAAACTGGAAGTTCAAGTTCATTGAATGGGCTGCCACAGTTGTGTGTACCCTAAAGAGTGATGGCAGCCGAGGAATTTGTGGGACTGTAGTATTACCATAAGTCCCAGGCTGAAAATGGACCAACATCCCATTGCTAAACTATAAGATGTAGTTGCAGAACTGACAGCAAGTGGTTTCCCAAAGTAGACGTATCTCAAACCTACCAGCAGGGAGTGCCAGAACCAAATTTTAAAAATCTGGCATTGAAGCCACATAAGCTTCTATTGGGTATGAAAGATGATCTTATCATCCCCCTACAGAGGCAGCTACTGCACCTGCTGTGTGAGTAGTGGTCAGATGGTTTTCCACAAGAACCTGCTGAGCTGCACCTACAAGGACAAGTTCACGGGTTTCCAGATAGGAGGGGAGCATCTGCTTACCTGTAAACATTATGGCTACGTCTACACTGGCATGATTTTCCGAAAATGCTTTTAATGGAAAACTTTTCCATTAAAAGCATTTTCGGAAAAGCGCGTCTAGATTGGCAGGATGCTTTTCCGCAAAAGCACTTCTTGCGGAAAAGCGTCCGTGGCCAATCTAGACGCAGTTTTCCACAAAAAAGCCCCGATCGCCATTTTCGCGATAGGGGCTTTTTCGTGCAAAACAGTACTGTGCTGTTTACACTGGCCCTCTTGCACAAATGATTTGCGCAAGAGGGCTTTTGTCTGAACGGGAGCAGCACAGTATTTCCGCAAGAACACTGATGATCTTACATGAGATCGTCAGTGTTCTTGCGGAAATTCAAGTGAAATGATTTCGCGGAAAAACTTGCCAGTGTAGACACAGCCTATATGGCTGAAGGGCAGCGGAGTTCACGGTGATGTCCAGAGTGGCTAAATGGGGCATTGTGGGATACATGCTGGAGTCCAATAACTTGACAAAATCCTACCTAGTGCTCCCTGCATCACTGTTGGCAGCGCATAGACTAAAGTCCCTCACGGAGCTAGAAGTTTTCTGTTGCCAAAAAAAGCCATATGTTGCAACATTTATCGCACTGTAATGTGAATGCACAGAGGTTTTTGTTGCCAAAGGGCATTTTTTGGTAACAAAACAAGCCAGTGTAGACAAGACCTTAATGTTCACAAGTAAATTCCTTGTGAAAAGCAACATTAACAAACATGCAAATACCACCTTTCACAGCACACTCAACCTTGGCAAGCCTGGAGACAAATTAAGACTTGGATGGGGAGTTGGGTAAAGAGACAGTGGGGGCCAGGGTTGATGAGGGTGAACTGGAGGCCTGTACTCATAGCTGCATGACCAGGCACCAGAGCCCGAGAGTCCATGTTCCATCCACATGCAGAATAATTTTTATGTGTACTGAGACATGTGCACGTGCACTAGAAACAAAAACCTGTGGGCACACTGCTAATCAGCTGGGCAGTACTGGAATCTCTCTTGAGCAGCTGCACAAGCACCCTGCTTCTAGGGAGCACTGCTGAGAGCCCAAAGCCTTGCACTTGGGTCCCAGGAGCCAAGCCTGAAGCCCCATGGCTGGTGGATTGAGCATGCTGCCAAAACCCATGGCAGAGGAAGCAGAGCAGCCTGGGACATGAGCCTCTCTCCTCTCACCTGGTGGCCCCAGCCTGAAGCCCATGGCTGGATCCTGGGGTTTGAAGCCCTGCAACCAGGGGATGCAGTGCCCAGCTGATGCTAGGGCCAGAGGAGACAGCAGGGGCTGGAATAGTGGTGGGCCCAGGGCTAGAGCCTGTCACTGCACAGCTGGGGTCAGAGCCTGAAATCCTATGGTTGGATTGTGTGGACAGATCCCAAATGCCTGAGACTGGATCCCAGGGCCAAATCAAGACACCTACAGCAGGGGCCTTGGGCCTGACACAGTCATAGCCTGCCTTGCTCAAACTTAGAAATAGCACGAAACCAACGGTCTCTGTTTCCAGTCCTTCCAGTTCAGGTCCATGCCCAAAGAAGTTGTCTCTTTGAGCCCCAGAGCACCCTGGGGCAGGGAGTGGGTCCTGCAGGGTCTGCACCCAGATCCTCCTAGGCCCAGTCTGGTAGTGGCTCTACCTCCTCAGCACTGGGCCAAGTTCATGCTGCAGGGCAAGAGTTGGCCATGCCCGGGGTAAGGAGGGAGCCAGCCAAGTGCATTATGGGTGTTTCTTGCCTTCTGCTAAAGGCTCAGTCACTGCTGGGCTGTGTGCATATCAGTGCATAAGGGGAATGGCTGTGCTCAGCAAGGCAGATACAACACTACACAAAACTTTTATTGCTCGGTCTCCCTGGGCCACATGCTGCAAACATCTGACTACAAGGAAACAAAGGCTCTTATAGCTTCCCTGCCCCAACTTGTCTAGGTATCTGGAGGTAGCAGGTTGTGATTGCTAAGCAGCTGCCCCACCCCAAAGCCACCCGTACTGGGCCAAAGCAGAGTGAGAAATGGCCTTTGCTAGCTCTCACCCAGGCCATTGGAGGCTCCCCTGGAAGACTGGCTGGGGGGTGGCTGGTCATGCCCCAGGCCTGGGGCAAGGTAGGTGGATTGCTGAGTGCAGGAGTGAGGAGGAGGTGCCGGGAAGGGAGATGCCTACCCTTTGGGGATGGTGTTAGAAACAGACCAGACCAGACCCTCAGCTCCAGGCAGCCTCAAAGCAGCAACATCAGGGCATGGGGCAGGGAGGCACTGATTCACTTCAGAGCCCTCAGCATGTGTTCTTGGTTCCTCCACCACTTCACCTCCCGAGTGCATTTACCTTCACTCTTGGGCGCAGAGGGCCGCAAGGGGAGCTGAGGCCCAGAGGCTGAGTGACTTGCCCATTTGTCTGGAAATGAGTAACAGGGGAGGGATCACGTGGGGATTACCTGCTGTGTTCCCTCCCTCTGGGGCATCTGGCACTGACCCCTGTTGGCAGACAGGATACTGGGCTAGATGGACCTTTCGTCTGCCCCAGTATGGCCGTTCTTATGCCCAAGGCCATGCAAGGTCCTGTGGCAGAGCAGGGAATTGAACATGGGTCTCCTAACTCCTAGGATAGTGTCTGAGCTGCTGGGCACCTGGCCAGGGGGCTGCCTGGGCTGTGCATGGGCAGATTTGGGAGCCGGGATGCCAGGGTTCCATTTCTACTGTGATGTGGCTGAGAAAAGGCACTTTTGGCCCTTGCTCTCAGAGGCAGGGGAAAGGCTCTGCAGCTGGTGTCTGAAAGGAGCCTGCAGCACCTTGGGAGCCCCATGCCCAGACCCACAGGGCCCCTGTCGTAAGAGAGAGAAGAAGGCTGATTACCAGGTGTCTGCTAACCCCTGAGGCCACCAGGACCCCCACCTGGTCCTCAGCTTGGCAGGCCCGAGAAGGCTGTATTCCCCACCCCTATGAACTGGGAGCTGCGTGGGCCTTAGGAGCATGGTGCGGGGGACTGGCTCTCATGGCTGGGCCTGGCTGCTCCAGATGCAGCCACAGCCCGTTCTCGCTGCGCAGGATCAGCTCGGGTTTGCGTTGCACGGGCCTGCTCTCATCCAGCCGCACGGCGAAGCGCAGCAGCGTCAGCGCCAGCACCACCTTCATCTCTGCCATAGCAAAGTTCTGCCCGATGCAGTTCCTGCAGGAGAGTAAGGGGTGTCTGTCAGCTGGTGCCCTCACCCAGCCAGGGCCCTGCAGGGGACGAGGCTGGAAACCACGTATCAGGAGAGGCTGGGATGCGGGAGCAGGGACAGACAGCCCAGAACCCACTGCATGTGTGGACAGATGGACACTGTGGAGAGCCTAACCCCCTCTGGAAGATCCTCAGCAATTACAGCTGATGGCACCATTGACCAGAGGCCATCTCCTGGGTATCCCACAATGCTTCACTGCAGCAGCCAGGGTGCCAGCAGGGAGCCACTAAGTGGTAGGCAAAATGGGGCAGTTTGTGCAACCTGGGGATCTGAGCCTGCAGGCAGGTTACCTGGGTCCAGCAGAGAAGGGCATGAAGGCCAGAGGGGGCCGGTTCTGGGAGTTCTCTGGGTCGAAGCGGAGTGGGTTATAAACCTGGAGCAGCAAGCACAGGGCATGGTAAGGGGAGGGTGGGGGCAGGGCTGGGGTCCCTGAGACAAAGTGGGAGCAAAGGTGCCCTCCCTGGGCTGCCCATTGGGGCCATGCACTGGGGATGGTCCTGCTTCCCTCCAGTACTCAGAGCCGGCTGCCCCAGTGTGAGTGGGGGTGCAACCCTCACTCCCCACTAGGTGTCTTCCTCTCTGGGAAGGTCACTGGGAAGAGGAAGCTGCTACACTTATGGCACTTCACCCTCAGTGCCACGCTGGGGCACACTGGATTGGCAGTGACTCCCAGGGGACAGCGCCCCCTACTGAGCCTCCCAGCCCTGCTCCCTGCAGCACAGCGCCCCCTACTGCAATGCTGGAGGTGGTGGTGGGGTGCAGCAAGAGCCAAAGGGGTAGAATAAGTGACCAGAGAGATACCTGGGGCTCCGGCCAGACAGCAGGGTTGTGATGTGTCCCATAGATACTGATGAGACAGATGTTCCCTACCAAAGAGGAAACGGCCTCATTACAGAGAGCAGAGGGGAAGGGAGGGGTTGAGTGCATCGGGAGTTATGGGCCCAGCTGTCGTGCCGTGCCCCTGACTGGGGGCAGGGAAGGAGGCTGGTACCTTTGGGGAGGATGCGTCCGTCATGCATTTTGATGTCCTCGGTGCAGCGCCGGGACACGGCAGTGACGGGTGGGTGCAGGCGCAGACTCTCCTTGATGCACATGGTGCAGAAGGGCATTTGGGACAGGTCCTCCCTACAGAGAGCAGAGCTCAATGCTGTCCCCAGGGGCCCAGTGCGAGCCCATGAGCCAGCTGCTGCGGCTGGGACAGACTTGTATCTGCATGGAGGTGGCCCTGAGGGGATGTGTGACCCTCCAAGGGCTGGACAGTGGCATGCACACCTGAATGGCAAGGCCCTTGGGCACTAGGGAGCAGCCTAGGCCCATCTTGCAGGGGTATCACTCCAGTTCGTAGGGCTGGCTGACATGGAGGGACCCAGTGCTGGGCAAAGATGGGGGGAATGGAGAGGACAGCAGCTGTGCTAACCCTCATAAGGAGGGTGGGGGTTGTGCTGGGACTAAGGCTACGTCTAGACTGCAGGCTTCTTGCACAAGAAGCTTTTATCAACAGCACGTCCACACTGCAAAAGTGCATCGAAAAAGCGATGGGCTTTTGCGCAAAGAGCGTCCAGACTGCACGGACGCTCTCTCGAAAGTAAGCTCTGATTGCTATGCACAGAATGGCCATTAGGACACCTGTGTTTTTTCCTCTTCCCATCCACACATGCCTTTTTGAGAAAGAGCTCTTGCGCAAAAAGGCTTCTTCCTTGTAGAATGAGGAATACCTCTGCCAGAAAAACCCCTCTGTTCTTTTGATTTTTTTGCACAAAAATGCACTTGAGATGTGGATGCTCTGCAAATTTTTCTGAGAAAACTCTGTAGCATAGACATAGCCTAAAGGGTGCGGGAGGCCACCCTGGAGCTTGTGGTCCTGGGTTAGCCAGAGCAGCCATCTCACCATTCAATCTCCTCCAACTCCTTGTACTGCAGTAAGTCCTTGATCTCCTCTCGGCAGCGCTCCTGGTAACTGGGGTGACGCGCCAGGTTATACAGTACCCAGGAGAGGCCACTGGCTGTGGTGTCATGGCCTGTGGGGACAGGTGAGCGCCAGGTGAGAGCCACTGGGGGCAGAGAGGGACTCCATGCCCAGTTCAGCTCCCCCTGCCAGCACCTCCTCTGGAGCCTTGCTCCACGGGACCCTCTGGAAGCACCAGCTGGGAACTCCAAGCTCCTGGTGCATGGGGGGGCGAGTGGGGTGACACTGAGCATCTGCCCTCCTCCATTTCTGGGACTGTCTGGCGGTGCTCAGGGGCAAGGGGTTACACCTGTCTTAGCTCCATTTCTTGGAGAGACACGCCCAGGTCACTCAGAGCCAGGAACTGAGCCTGGCTTCTGCCTCACCTTCAGTATCCGTGGAGACCCTTCCCCCAAAAGGCAGCAAGGTCAGCAGGAGAGCCCCCCACCCCCTCCCCAGAGCGATGCCTCACCCTCAAACATGAAGGTGTCTGTCTCGGCTGCAATGTCCTCGTCAGACAGCTCCTGGCCGTCCTCATCCTGAACAGAGCACACGCTGCTGGATGAGTCACCTGGCTCCCCATGGGCACAATCCCCTCCTGCCCCCCAGGGAAGAGCCTGGAGGGACAGGATGTCTCACCCCCAGCTTGGGGGAAAGAGGTAGACCCTGCCCTGCCCACAGCCCCAGGCTGGGCTCACCCCTCCCCTGGCCTGGCTCCACAGAGGTGCCAGCCCCATGTCACCAAGTGCAATTCTTACTACTCCTGAGCTGCTGGGAAGGCAGCTCTGGCTGGGCCACCCCAGAGAGCTGGGCTGGGGGGATGTGTCCTGGTGTGACAGTCAGAACACAACACCTTCCACCTGGTGAGTCCTGAGCCCGCCCCATGGGGCAGGCCACTCCCCTTGACCTGGAACAGGATGTCACTGATGCCCCCCAACGTACTTACAGGCAAGACCCCCCCACTACATTTCCTTGGCCAACAGCAGGACATCAGTGATGGCCCCTATCCCCATGGGGCGGGCCTCCCCTGTGTTACCTTGGCCAGCAGCAGGACGTCAATGAAGTCCACTGTCTTGCCCTGCTTGGATTTGAGCCAGGCCTCCCTGCCCAGGTGGCTCAGGGCCTGGCGGCGCTGCTGCACCACAGCAGCCGTGAAGCGGTGCACGGTATCGCAGGCGCGCCGGAAGCGCCACCCGTCAGGCACCAGGTGGTACAGGAGGTCGCAGTGCAGAAGCAGGCGGTGCTGGCGCCGTACCACCAGGGAGCTGAGCTCCAAGATGGCCGCGATGTAGTCACTGGACGTCCTGCAACACAATAGGCCAGCATATGACCGACAGGCACCACAGCAGCCGTGAAGCGGTGCACGGTATCGCAGGCGCGCCGGAAGCGCCACCCGTCAGGCACCAGGTGGTACAGGAGGTCGCAGTGCAGAAGCAGGCGGTGCTGGCGCCGTACCACCAGGGAGCTGAGCTCCAAGATGGCCGCGATGTAGTCACTGGACGTCCTGCAACACAATAGGCCAGCATATGACCGACAGGCTGAGCCCTCCCTGCCGCTGGCTCAGCCAGCATGGGTCCATAAACACCCAGGGCTCCATAAACACAGAGGGGAGGGGCAAAGCATGGTCCAAGTAGCCCCCAGGCATTTTGGCTCTCACCATGGACCCACAGCCAGCCCATGTGCTTGCACCAGCACGCCCCACAGCCAGCCCGGGGCCCGTCTGCACCAGCACGCCCCACAGCCAGCCCGGGGCCCGTCTGCACCAGCACGCCCCACAGCCAGCCCGGGGCCCGTCTGCACCAGCACGCCCCACAGCCAGCCCGGGGCCCGTCTGCACCAGCACGCCCCACAGCCAGCCCGGGGCCCGTCTGCACCAGCACGCCCCACAGCCAGCCCGGGGCCCGTCTGCACCAGCACGCCCCACAGCCAGCCCGGGGCCCGTCTGCACCAGCACGCCCCACAGCCAGCCCGGGGCCCGTCTGCACCAGCACGCCCCACAGCCAGCCCGGGGCCCGTCTGCACCAGCACGCCCCACAGCCAGCCCGGGGCCCGTCTGCACCAGCACGCCCCACAGCCAGCCCGGGGCCCGTCTGCACCAGCACGCCCCACAGCCAGCCCGGGGCCCGTCTGCACCAGCACGCCCCACAGCCAGCCCGGGGCCCGTCTGCACCAGCACGCCCCACAGCCAGCCCGGGGCCCGTCTGCACCAGCACGCCCCACAGCCAGCCCGGGGCCCGTCTGCACCAGCACGCCCCACAGCCAGCCCGGGGCCCGTCTGCACCAGCACGCCCCACAGCCAGCCCGGGGCCCGTCTGCACCAGCACGCCCCACAGCCAGCCCGGGGCCCGTCTGCACCAGCACGCCCCACAGCCAGCCCGGGGCCCGTCTGCACCAGCACGCCCCACAGCCAGCCCGGGGCCCGTCTGCACCAGCACGCCCCACAGCCAGCCCGGGGCCCGTCTGCACCAGCACGCCCCACAGCCAGCCCGGGGCCCGTCTGCACCAGCACGCCCCACAGCCAGCCCGGGGCCCGTCTGCACCAGCACGCCCCACAGCCAGCCCGGGGCCCGTCTGCACCAGCACGCCCCACAGCCAGCCCGGGGCCCGTCTGCACCAGCACGCCCCACAGCCAGCCCGGGGCCCGTCTGCACCAGCACGCCCCACAGCCAGCCCGGGGCCCGTCTGCACCAGCACGCCCCACAGCCAGCCCGGGGCCCGTCTGCACCAGCACGCCCCACAGCCAGCCCGGGGCCCGTCTGCACCAGCACGCCCCACAGCCAGCCCGGGGCCCGTCTGCACCAGCACGCCCCACAGCCAGCCCGGGGCCCGTCTGCACCAGCACGCCCCACAGCCAGCCCGGGGCCCGTCTGCACCAGCACGCCCCACAGCCAGCCCGGGGCCCGTCTGCACCAGCACGCCCCACAGCCAGCCCGGGGCCCGTCTGCACCAGCACGCCCCACAGCCAGCCCGGGGCCCGTCTGCACCAGCACGCCCCACAGCCAGCCCGGGGCCCGTCTGCACCAGCACGCCCCACAGCCAGCCCGGGGCCCGTCTGCACCAGCACGCCCCACAGCCAGCCCGGGGCCCGTCTGCACCAGCACGCCCCACAGCCAGCCCGGGGCCCGTCTGCACCAGCACGCCCCACAGCCAGCCCGGGGCCCGTCTGCACCAGCACGCCCCACAGCCAGCCCGGGGCCCGTCTGCACCAGCACGCCCCACAGCCAGCCCGGGGCCCGTCTGCACCAGCACGCCCCACAGCCAGCCCGGGGCCCGTCTGCACCAGCACGCCCCACAGCCAGCCCGGGGCCCGTCTGCACCAGCACGCCCCACAGCCAGCCCGGGGCCCGTCTGCACCAGCACGCCCCACAGCCAGCCCGGGGCCCGTCTGCACCAGCACGCCCCACAGCCAGCCCGGGGCCCGTCTGCACCAGCACGCCCCACAGCCAGCCCGGGGCCCGTCTGCACCAGCACGCCCCACAGCCAGCCCGGGGCCCGTCTGCACCAGCACGCCCCACAGCCAGCCCGGGGCCCGTCTGCACCAGCACGCCCCACAGCCAGCCCGGGGCCCGTCTGCACCAGCACGCCCCACAGCCAGCCCGGGGCCCGTCTGCACCAGCACGCCCCACAGCCAGCCCGGGGCCCGTCTGCACCAGCACGCCCCACAGCCAGCCCGGGGCCCGTCTGCACCAGCACGCCCCACAGCCAGCCCGGGGCCCGTCTGCACCAGCACGCCCCACAGCCAGCCCGGGGCCCGTCTGCACCAGCACGCCCCACAGCCAGCCCGGGGCCCGTCTGCACCAGCACGCCCCACAGCCAGCCCGGGGCCCGTCTGCACCAGCACGCCCCACAGCCAGCCCGGGGCCCGTCTGCACCAGCACGCCCCACAGCCAGCCCGGGGCCCGTCTGCACCAGCACGCCCCACAGCCAGCCCGGGGCCCGTCTGCACCAGCACGCCCCACAGCCAGCCCGGGGCCCGTCTGCACCAGCACGCCCCACAGCCAGCCCGGGGCCCGTCTGCACCAGCACGCCCCACAGCCAGCCCGGGGCCCGTCTGCACCAGCACGCCCCACAGCCAGCCCGGGGCCCGTCTGCACCAGCACGCCCCACAGCCAGCCCGGGGCCCGTCTGCACCAGCACGCCCCACAGCCAGCCCGGGGCCCGTCTGCACCAGCACGCCCCACAGCCAGCCCGGGGCCCGTCTGCACCAGCACGCCCCACAGCCAGCCCGGGGCCCGTCTGCACCAGCACGCCCCACAGCCAGCCCGGGGCCCGTCTGCACCAGCACGCCCCACAGCCAGCCCGGGGCCCGTCTGCACCAGCACGCCCCACAGCCAGCCCGGGGCCCGTCTGCACCAGCACGCCCCACAGCCAGCCCGGGGCCCGTCTGCACCAGCACGCCCCACAGCCAGCCCGGGGCCCGTCTGCACCAGCACGCCCCACAGCCAGCCCGGGGCCCGTCTGCACCAGCACGCCCCACAGCCAGCCCGGGGCCCGTCTGCACCAGCACGCCCCACAGCCAGCCCGGGGCCCGTCTGCACCAGCACGCCCCACAGCCAGCCCGGGGCCCGTCTGCACCAGCACGCCCCACAGCCAGCCCGGGGCCCGTCTGCACCAGCACGCCCCACAGCCAGCCCGGGGCCCGTCTGCACCAGCACGCCCCACAGCCAGCCCGGGGCCCGTCTGCACCAGCACGCCCCACAGCCAGCCCGGGGCCCGTCTGCACCAGCACGCCCCACAGCCAGCCCGGGGCCCGTCTGCACCAGCACGCCCCACAGCCAGCCCGGGGCCCGTCTGCACCAGCACGCCCCACAGCCAGCCCGGGGCCCGTCTGCACCAGCACGCCCCACAGCCAGCCCGGGGCCCGTCTGCACCAGCACGCCCCACAGCCAGCCCGGGGCCCGTCTGCACCAGCACGCCCCACAGCCAGCCCGGGGCCCGTCTGCACCAGCACGCCCCACAGCCAGCCCGGGGCCCGTCTGCACCAGCACGCCCCACAGCCAGCCCGGGGCCCGTCTGCACCAGCACGCCCCACAGCCAGCCCGGGGCCCGTCTGCACCAGCACGCCCCACAGCCAGCCCGGGGCCCGTCTGCACCAGCACGCCCCACAGCCAGCCCGGGGCCCGTCTGCACCAGCACGCCCCACAGCCAGCCCGGGGCCCGTCTGCACCAGCACGCCCCACAGCCAGCCCGGGGCCCGTCTGCACCAGCACGCCCCACAGCCAGCCCGGGGCCCGTCTGCACCAGCACGCCCCACAGCCAGCCCGGGGCCCGTCTGCACCAGCACGCCCCACAGCCAGCCCGGGGCCCGTCTGCACCAGCACGCCCCACAGCCAGCCCGGGGCCCGTCTGCACCAGCACGCCCCACAGCCAGCCCGGGGCCCGTCTGCACCAGCACGCCCCACAGCCAGCCCGGGGCCCGTCTGCACCAGCACGCCCCACAGCCAGCCCGGGGCCCGTCTGCACCAGCACGCCCCACAGCCAGCCCGGGGCCCGTCTGCACCAGCACGCCCCACAGCCAGCCCGGGGCCCGTCTGCACCAGCACGCCCCACAGCCAGCCCGGGGCCCGTCTGCACCAGCACGCCCCACAGCCAGCCCGGGGCCCGTCTGCACCAGCACGCCCCACAGCCAGCCCGGGGCCCGTCTGCACCAGCACGCCCCACAGCCAGCCCGGGGCCCGTCTGCACCAGCACGCCCCACAGCCAGCCCGGGGCCCGTCTGCACCAGCACGCCCCACAGCCAGCCCGGGGCCCGTCTGCACCAGCACGCCCCACAGCCAGCCCGGGGCCCGTCTGCACCAGCACGCCCCACAGCCAGCCCGGGGCCCGTCTGCACCAGCACGCCCCACAGCCAGCCCGGGGCCCGTCTGCACCAGCACGCCCCACAGCCAGCCCGGGGCCCGTCTGCACCAGCACGCCCCACAGCCAGCCCGGGGCCCGTCTGCACCAGCACGCCCCACAGCCAGCCCGGGGCCCGTCTGCACCAGCACGCCCCACAGCCAGCCCGGGGCCCGTCTGCACCAGCACGCCCCACAGCCAGCCCGGGGCCCGTCTGCACCAGCACGCCCCACAGCCAGCCCGGGGCCCGTCTGCACCAGCACGCCCCACAGCCAGCCCGGGGCCCGTCTGCACCAGCACGCCCCACAGCCAGCCCGGGGCCCGTCTGCACCAGCACGCCCCACAGCCAGCCAGCAGGGTCCATGGTGGGAACCTAAGTGCAGGGCTAATGTGAACTGGTGCAGTACAACAGGTCCAAGCTGTAGACGAGGGCCCTGCAACACACGTGGTCATTTGGGACAGGAGATTGTGAGGTGACGGGACTGCAGTGAGGAGCTTCCTGCAGTGAGATGCCTGCGGATGCAGGATCATGTAGCAACGGAACCCAGCAGAGTCGTTAGCAGAGATAGAACCACCAACCCAAGCCCCCAGCCTCTTCCCTTGAGCCAAAGGGTCTGCCCAGGGCCTGGTGCAGCCGCTGAGGGGATAAGCACTCGGGGGCACTGAACCACCCAAATGCCTCCAGATCCAGCCTACCTGGCCAGCCCCTCCCCACTTGGTGACCCATGGCTGGGATCTCCAGTTTGGGGACCACCTGTTCTGTGAATCTGGTGAGTGACCTGGGCCCCCAGCCTCTTCCCTTGAGCCAAAGGGTCTGCCCAGGGCCTGGTGCAGCCGCTGAGGGGATAAGCACTCGGGGGCACTGAACCACCCAAATGCCTCCAGATCCAGCCTACCTGGCCAGCCCCTCCCCACTTGGTGACCCATGGCTGGGATCTCCAGTTTGGGGACCACCTGTTCTGTGAATCTGGTGAGTGACCTGGGGCAAGCTAGGCAGGGAGGGAACTTGCAGCCTTCTCTGACCTCCCTACATCTATGTGACTCAAATGGGGGGGTTCCCTGTCCTAGGGGGACTGCGGGGCCCCAGCAGGAGCTGCCCCCAGGTCACTCACTCTTGGCAGTCCACATTTCTGCAAACTGTCCAGGGTCATGAGGCTGACTTGCTCAAACATTTCCAGGGAGGCGAAGCCCAACGCCGCCAGCCGATACCACTTGGTCTGTGGGAGAACAGCATCCGGGAGAGCATGCCCAGGCAGTGCTGACGGGACAGCGTCAGAGACAGGCGTGCGATGCAGACTGGAGTAGTGACAGCGTGGCCAGGTGGGTCCTGGTGCAGCATATGTCCTGGTTATGGGCAGATGTATGGCCACGGAGACAGAATGATAGGCA